CATACAAGTTGTATAATCCATAATTTAATTGAAAACTTGAGCTCATTGATTCAGCGGTGTATGAGTTACGGCCGTGAAAAGTGGAGTAGAGTCTCTTCCACTCACAGAACGAGGAGCGACCAGCCTGCGTCCTCTAGCCTCTACAGCGCTGTTAAACACTAGGGCTTCAGCCTCAAAATTTGAATATAATTCTAAAATTTAAAAAATATGTATATTTGAACAAATATTAGACAGCCCTTATAATTTGAAATGTATTTAATGACTGCAAATGAAATAGTTAGCTCCCAAAGGTTTCACCGGGACGTGCTAGGCAGGTAACATCTAAGCTAGATAGCTCAAAAACTCCCCGGAACTACATGAAAACTGAACAAAGAATTCTGAACATCAGCGGTGAGTTACCCATTTATATACCGAACCTAAATCCATCAGATCCTCTTCAAATGTGTCCTAAAATGTTCGTTTCATGTTTATGGTTTCTTCCGGGTTTTTCGCGATCGCTTTTTGTCACATTAAAATAGTAATTTTGTCATGAAAACGTTAACAACAAATTCTGAAAACGTCTGTGCACGTGTTAATGATGCATATGTATACTGTATTGTCCGATTAACATTTAATGGCGTTGATTGATTGATATGTATTTGTTTATGGAGCTTGGCTAACTCGGCTAGCTCCGCTAGCTTCTCTGCACAGACAACTGTGTACACAGTGTAGTGACAGGCGCTGAAGGCTTGTTGTACTTGCATAGTAATGTTAGTATTTTACACACCTGAATTACAAACAGAGATTGCGTTGCCAAAGGGCAGCGGTCATAATTGGTTTGAGAGCTCTGTTTTCAAGAAAAATGATCGGTAGAATTACATTCAAGTCAATGGAGTGCTGCTGCTGCTGTGAGGAGCTGCATAATAAATTATAATTAAATATTCAAATATATTTGAATGTTTAAATGAATACATTGTGTTAGCAGTGCGTTGCTTTAGTATCATTTCTTCAGTGATTGTTGTACAGCTTACAAGAAGTTGCGCTAATGCTAATGTCAGCATACATATCAGATCGCAAATTGAGCTAGATGGCTCTGTATTATGAGAGCGTAGGGGAAATGAGAAGCCATTGAGGGAGTTGGGGGGCGGTGCTAAACATTCAAACCTTGCAGAAACGGGTATAGCGCCTTTAATGTTGATGCACCTTTGGCAGCAATTACCGCCTCAAGTCTTTTTGAATATGATGAAACAAGCTAGGCACACCTGTCTTTGGGCAGTTTTGCCCATTCCTCATTGCAGCACCATCAAGTTGGATGGGGCGTGTCGGTGCACAGCCATTTTCAGATCTCTCCAGAGATGTTCAATTGGATTCAAGTCTGGGCTCTGGCTGGGCCACTCAAGGACATTCACAGAGTTGTCCTGAAGCCACTTTTTTGTTATCTTGGCTGTGTGCTTAGGGTTGTTGTCCTGCTGAAAGATGAAACGTCGCCCCAGTCTGAGGTCAAGAGCGCTCTGGAGCAGGTTTTCATCCAGGATGTCTCTGTACATTGCTGCATTCATCTTTCCCTCTGTCTTGACTAGTCTCCCAATTCCTGCCGCTGAAAAACATCCCCACTGCATGATGCTACCACCACAATGCTTCACTGTAGGGATGTTATTGACTTGGTGATGAGCAGTGCCTGGTTTCCTCCAAACATGACGCCTGGCATTCACGCCAAAGAGTTCAATCTTTGTCTCAGACCAGAGGATTTTTTACTCATGGTCTGAGAGTCCTTCAGGTGCCTTTTGGCAAACTCCAGGTTTCTGAACCGCTGATTTGTGGATTGCTACAGAGATGGTTGTCCTTCTGGAAGGTCCTCTCTCTATAGAGAAACGCTGGAGCTCTGACAAAGTGACCATCGGGTTCTTAGTCACCTCACTGACTAAGGCCCTTCTCCCCCGATTGCTCAGTTTAGATGGCCGGCCAGCTCTAGGAAGAGTTCTGGTGGTTCCAAACTTCTTCCATTTACGGATGATGGAGGCCACTGTGCTCATTGGGACCTTCAAAGCAGCAGACATTTTTCTGTACCCTTCCCCAGACTTGTGCCTCGAGACAATCCTGTTTCGGAGGTCTACAGACAATTCCTTTGACTTCATGCTTGGTTTGTGCTCTGACATGCACTGTCCACTGTGGGACCTTATATATACAGCTGTGTGCCTTTCCAAATCAAGTCAAATCAACTGAATTTACCACAGGTGGACTCCAATGAAGCAGTAGAAGCATCTCAAGGATGATCCGTGGAAACAGGATGCACCTGAGCTCAATTTTGAGCTTCATGGCAAAGGCTGTGAATACTTATGTACATGTGGTTTATTCGGTTTTTATTTGTAATACATTTGCAAAAATCTCCAAAAAAATGTTTTCGCGTTGTCATTATGGGGTTTCATGTGTAGAATTTAAGGGGAAAAAATGAATGACAAAAGTTTGGACACACTTTCTCATTCAATGAGTTTCCTTTCTTTCATGAATATTGACTGTAGATTCACACCCAGGCTGTGTAAGGGCTGTTTGACCAATGAGGAGAGTGGTGGGTGCTGGGCCAGATGACCTGGCCTCCACAGTCACCGGACCTGAACCCAATCCAGATGGTTTTGGGGTGTGCTGGACCACAGAGTGAAGGCCAACAAGTGCTAAGCATCTCTGGGAAATCTTTCAAGACTGTTGGACGACCATTTCAGGTCAAAGCTCATCAAGAGAGTTCCATGAGAGTGCAAAGCAGTAATCAGAGCAAAAGGTGCTACTTTGAAGAACCGAGAATATAAGACATATTTTCAGTTGTTTCATACTTTATTACATGTATAATTCCACATGAGTTTCACATTCATAGTTTTGATGCCTTCAGTGTGAATCTACAATTTTCTTAGTCATGAAAATAAAAAACTATTTTGGTTAATATGTAGGGTTTTCTTTGTTTGGGGAGATATTGATTTGAGCAGATTATTGATAATAAAATTGTGGGTTACTTTATTGGAATAGCATTAATGTATAACGTGGCATGGTAGCATACAGTACAAGTTTAAGTTACAAACCTTCAGTAATTATAAACTTCTGATTATTTCAATCAGGCAACGGACCAGTACACTACAAAAAGTGATGAAAAATAAGTCAACAATTTGCCACAATGTATCTTCATTTGAACACATTTTGACTGCCATAAAACAAGATTTGCCAATGGGACAAGCTAAATTTTCTTGTTTTAAAAAGATAGAAAAAAGTTAGAAAATAAAGCAACAGTTCTGGAAAGAGGACTAAATGACTTGTCCCACTGGCAAATCTTGTTTTAAGACAGTCAGAATGTATTCATATTAAGATGTAAACCACCTCATATTAATTGTTGCGGTGTTTATTTGCATATTTTTTTAGGTTAATGGCTGGCGACGGTCTTGGGGCCGCATAGAAATGGGAATCGGGCCACATGTGACCCCCAGGCCGCACTTTGCCCAAGTCTGGTCTAACACCTCTTGGCCTCTGTAGAAGCGCCTCAAGCCAGTCTAACACATGGTTAACAACCAGGGAAAGACAAAGCTATAAAACGCAGATCATACAAATATTGTGCATGTGGGTTAATTTTGTCCAGAATAACCACAGCATATTTCGGGAAACTGAAAGTGAATGAAAAGGAAATGAAGAGGTCACGAGTATGAGTTGTTGTAGTATTATTTTTCATTACTCAATATTATTTTATATTCGCCGTATCTACATATCCTTATTATTGGACCTGGGGCTCTGGCTTGGCTCATTCCAAGAAAGACATTACAGTGGTGTTTGGTTTCAGTGAAAATGAGTTCCCTCGACACAGAGGTCACGGCCACAGCTCCTCATGCAGTTACATCACTATGAAATTAGTCTCATCCAATTCACTACACTTCTCAATGCTCCCCTTAATAGACCATGTGTTAGTTTTCCAAATTTTCACGGCCAACGTTTTTCCTTAAAATTCCAACCACATCAGAAGGACGTATTTTTTACTTGAGTGCCGAGAATAAATCGATTCCTCCACTGCTCCATTTCACTATGTAAACAAAAGCGATTGTACATGAAGCTTTACAAGTTGTGTGAGGTTTTCTTGATTTGTTGATATGGATGTGACATTTAGCTGAAAGAAACACTGTGCTAAGGCTTTGTGGCCAATGAAGCAGACAGAAAGTACAGACCTCTCTGCTTTAAAAGCCACAGTTCAGATGGAAAAAGGAACCAGTGTGAGAACTTGTGATGGAAGTTACTGCACGTTCTCTCTGACATGAATATTTTACCAGAGAAAAGCTTTTTCTTTGAAACTTTGCAATGTCTTTATGGTCACTACATTTTTTCCCCCTCGTGCTGTCGAGCTATTCTTTCTAATTCTCAAGATTCTTCTATTTTGGTCCATCCGAGCTTGGAGTCGTACCTGAGGAGCACCAGGCTTATGTAAGGTCAAGGGGAGTATCAGAATGGTATGGTCCAATCATTTACAGTGCATTTCAGAAAACTACAACCAACCTTGAAACTTAAAGCCGGGGTACCTCAAATCTCTGAAACGATTTCCTCACTCAGTTTGGTATAGCACTAGTTTTCAAATGCATGAATTTTTGGCCTCTGTCGCATCCTCATATTTTTCAGACAGGAAAGTGAAAAATAGAGGACAACCCTCACTCAGCCAATCAGCTCTCTAAGGGTCAAATAGTGACTCACAGGGCTCTTTATTACAAGTATGCAAAAGATAACATGTTTACGATAAGATAGAGACAACATGATGTGGTCTTATTGGTTCACAACGTTTGATTTAAAATAAAAATAGGTAACTCAACCTTTATGTATGTTTCCACTCTAGATACCTTTTAGGAGATTACATGTATGTGCATGACCTAATGGTGTGGACAACATTTCTTGCAGCAGAGTTGTCTATTTGTTATTTTAGGAATTCCCATTGCCAGAATCCTTATTGTTCTAACATTATCCACTGATTGGAGAAGATTTTAATCTTAATCTGCTTGCCAGACAGTTCACTGTGAGTTGTCCAAGGACCACCCTGGGAACAGCTTTGCGAGCATGCGGGACTGTGGGAGAGCAGCAGTGTCCAGGGATCTTTTCTCATCTGAAAAACCACTGTTCCTTCCACTGAAAAACACCAGCAAAACAACACTGCGTTCACATTTGTCAGCGGTTTGACCTGGATTAGTCCTGATCCAGCCTCGGATTGGTCCTCTCTGCTTTTGATACAGCGTGCGAACTGAAGGAGCATCCATAACCTGCTAACGAAGCTCTCCAAAAAGCACTCCTCTTACATTTTTTTTTCTCTTTTTTTTCCCCACAATTTCAAAGCCAGGTTAATTAAAGACCTCTTAATTCCCTCACACATAATCACGACAGTTCTGCAAGCTACCAAGGTAACATAATCTCATATTTTGGGTTGCTAACCATGCTGCAAAGTACTTTTAAGCGTGTCTTCGCGTGGCTGACATCTCATCACGCTGTGCTATGAAATGGTCCTGAAGTTGAATGAGACTCACACAAAAGCGCGCAGGGAATTAGCACACACGAGGCACATTTCCAGCAAGTGTTTATGTTCTTCTTAAAGCCTTTCTCTGGCAGAAGCGATTACACGAAACGTCTCCCTACTTATTTGTTTTCTCATCCTAACGCTTGGCTGCGGCGTTTATCCATTTTGACAAGCACATAATATGGCTTTTGCCGCTGTGAGGGAGGAAATGAACCGCAATCGCGAGGCAGGCATAAAATATGGAAGTTAAAACAGAAGCTAAGGGTTTTATCACTTTCCTTGCTCTCACTCCCCAAAGATGTGTTGAAAGATCACAATAATCCCCACCAAATGACATTACTCTCCTCTCCATGAGTAGGTGGAAATGTAAAGCAGCCAAATTACTGAAGACACTCAAGGGTGTTGGGAACCATGCGATAAACACGTAAAGTTTGCAGTGTAATTTGATTAAGTTTGGAAAAAAAAAAAAGTATAAATATAGTCAGAACTACATTGCATGCACAGTTCATTAAAAGATTTTAAGTTCGTATGAGGATTTGACTTTACAGGGGGTGGATAAAGTTCCCAAAATGTTTGCGTAGAAGTTGTTTCACAGTTTACAGACTTCTTAACGTCTAAACTTATCTCATGGAGTCGGCTCACCTCTTACACATTTAAAATAATATCACATTGCATCCATCGAGAGTAGAAGAAAATGTTGTATATAGTGACTTCAAGACCACTTCTTAAAAATGGACCTGTTTTAAGTCCACAATGTTGATGAGATTTGGTTATATATAATCAAATAAATGTGTACGATATACTGTAAATCCCCATCCCCTTTATGTATTACCGGACAGTGAGGACAGTGATGATCCAGGACATGCATGGACATTTACAGACCTGTTTCCTACGGACCAAAGGCTATGTGTTTGTTTGTTTTATTATTTCACTGCCAGTGTTTAAATTGTTCTATTCTCTGGTCTGCTGCTGTCGAATTGACAATTTTGTAAAGTCCTTCATCATGGCCTATGTTGTGATTTAAAGGTTTACAAAAATAATTAGATTTGAATTTAATGTTAACAGGTTATAATACTTAACATCTTCCATCCATTTTCTTCCGCTTTATCCATTGCCAGGTCGCGGGGGCAGCAATCTAAGCTAAGGTGCCCAGACTTCGCTGTCCACACACACCTCCTCATACAGTACACACAGTACATACTATTAGATTTGGCTGGATATATGCCGGCACTTTATTTTACCGTTGAGATCTAAGGTTCCATCTCAATTGTTCTGCTAGGTCAACAAATTAAAACTCTCATTCACACCCTAACACTTATTTGGAAATCAAAGCTTACTTTGATAAAAGAAAATACACACACCCACATGAATTCTATCTGCCTGGCTCAGCCTTGAAGACCAGTCCAAATGGCGTGATATAAGTGAGTGGCCCCTGTAACATTCTTTCTGAACTGCTTGAAAATGGAGCGTTTCAGAACATGGCCCTCTCCCCGCAGCAGCAGCAGCAGCAGCAGAGCCAAAGCTGCAGCAGCAGCAGCAGCAGCAGCTTATTTCTATTCCATGAGACGAAGTCAGGGAGGCAGCTCTTGAAAGTGCTCAACTTCCAAAATTGTGGCAGAGATTTTTCCATGACCTTTTAGACAGATTTTACTGATAGCGAACATGGTGGTCAGGTGTAAGGCCAGTGGACAATATTCAATTTTATTTGAGCGACAGTTATCCTCAGGTCAAAACATGTGCAATAGCTTGGCCCTTGGTACGAGTCACAGCGCCTTGCCTTGATTGTTTATATACGATGTTAGTGTGGTTGCCATCAAGTGCACAGACAAACCCTTTTCGCAGGCTGCGGGTTTAAATAACTCACCACTGCGATATTACAAAAGCGTAGGTTGGCCTTATTTATAAATGACTTATCAAAACAAAACAGCCTGATTTGTTGTTATTCCACTGGAACTGTATCTCAGAACACATTTGCGTTTACAAAATATTTGCTAAATGTAAAAATCTATGCCACATTCGCATTTTCATAATTCTGTTATTTCTTATTATAATGTAAGATGCTTGCGGAAAATAGTCCTCCTTGTAAACATCTAATTCATTTATTTGATTAGAGACAATGCACAATAAACATAGTCCTTTAAAATAGAAATCATGCCATGTGCCTTGTTTTTGCAAACTCATGGATAGATCCCGACCCAATCAAATCATTTATAATTTGTACTTCTGCCACCTTACAATACCATACCATACACTTATTGATAATCTAAACTGTTATTTGTATATTGTGTGTATACATATATTAGACATTTTTTGTACGTATGCCTTTAGATCTTTGTTTTGACAAATATATTACGTGTGACTTCCTGTTATTTACAATGGCAATAAAATGATTATACTGATTCTAGACAGGGTCATTATATAATTACCCTTTATCAACTGAACAAATCGAGATATATAAAAACTATATACGTATTACTCATGTATACAATGCCACTATAGTTCAATAAAGATACAAAGAAAATCTATTCCCTTGTTATTGCAATAATTTTATTTAAAAATGACTTCATGTATTATTATTATCTGACTATATCTTTCATGTCTGTGTCATCCATGTGCTCTCGCTGCTCTCGTCCCCCTGTGCGGTGTGTGAAGTGCGGGATAATTAGCCTGCACCTTATCAGCCTGGGACACTGCAGCCTCCTCTCCACTGACAGGTCATGGAGCCCAGGCAGCACCAGCGGGAGCCTGCAAGAAAGGAGTCTGCGTGTGATAGGGCCATGTTAGGAGCACAAGACAAGGACCCAGCTCTGTGTGAGGAGATGGGGGGCAGATGGGGGGGCAGGGGGGTTGCAGAAGGAGAGAAGGAGGTGCAGAGATGGAGCACTTTAAAGGGAGGAGACAGCTAGGCCCCGCAAGGACAGAGCAGCTGCTGCGGCCTATCAACTCTTCCTCAAGACCTCGCCACTCATTAGCATAAATTCAAATGACAAATGTGGCCCGCTTTGGCAAGGACTAATTAATTCACAGAGAGGGGGGTAGGCACACTGGAGTGAGAGGGAAAAAAAGTCAAATCATTCAATGCCATGAACCCTTAAGAAGTGTTGAGTTACATATTTGACTAAAAACATGCAGTTAAAAAGTATGATTTCTATGTTTTCTTTGCTTTGTGTTTTGGATGTGTGTTTTGTTTTGTTCATAATCAAGAAAACAATTTGGGTATTTCAAGAGGTTTGGTGTGAGTGAGTGAGTGAGTGGAGAGGTGGTGCTGATTAGACCCATAGGTCGAGTTATACTCCTCATCACACGCTTTGGACTTCTTGATTTATAACAAGGAACAATGGGCCAAAAAAGATTGCTTAGCTCTGAAGTCCCCGAAAGTTACACTAGTGCAGGCGGGAAGGATAAGTGCTCCTCCTTGTGGTTAGTGTGTGTACCTCAGCTATCAGTCAACTGTGGAACTGACAGAAAATGCTGCTTTAGCTTTTCCCTCTACATTCAGAGTTCCATGTGATCATGACGTTTAAAGTTGTATATGTTTGAACGCACACAATATATATATATATATATATATATATATATATATATATATATATATATATATATATATATATATATATATATATATATATATATATATATATATATGTATATGTATATATATATGTATATGTATATATATAGTTATATAGACCCCTATATATATTATATATATATATATATATATATATATATATATATATATATATATATATATACTAGTTATATATAGTTATATAGATTTTGTAAAATCTATTTATTTGTATGACAAAATTATTTAATTCAAATAAGTTGCACAATACTCTGAGTTACTTTTAGGGTAAATTACTGTATATGCATATCGTGTTTGACTGCCATCGTTCTTTGATTTGTTACAAATATGTTTTCTGTTTCAGGATGTAGCAAGATTTTTTTTAAATGAAATTATCTTTGTGAATGCTATAGTGCAATTAAAGAAGATTGTAACTACTTTTAGTGTTAATAATAATATACCTATGTTGCTTTGTGTGTATTATTTACAATATTTCAAAAAGGAATGTATTACAGTAACCTAATTTGAAATTAGACTAAACGTTTAACAAAAAACAAAGTGAAAACATGAGCAAACATAAATCAAAAAGTAAGTTTAGCCGAAGTCAAATCATTCACAAATCATATTTTCTTACTGTATGTGTCACTATGGATACAAGTGAACTTTATCAATGAGTGCTATAACTTCTGAAATAAATTAGAAATCCGCCTGTCTTACATTAACTCCCTATTTTTCTTGTTCGCTCCACAAAACTTTACAGAGGCTGAAAGTAACCACAACATCTGTCCTCCATCACAGCCAGGTATCATTTCCACAGAATTGCATGTATTTGCGGTGCACCCAAACGCCCGCTTGTCTCTATGCCCACCTTTTGCAGCTTGTATCGCTATCATCCTCCTCGTCCAGGCGACATCCCACGATCCAGGTGTGACCGCTCCGCCTTTACCAAAAATCCCTTGTTAAACACTTGACAATGGCCGCTCTGGAGAGTTCCCAGCTCAAGCAGACTTCGCCTTCTCCTCATTGCACCATAATTACATCAAAACAGAACATGTTGTGCACTGAGAAGACTATTTATACATTCACGACAAGAGCCAGTTTCTCTGCCTCCAACGAACATCTAAGCCATTTGTGTGAGCGCGGGAGACTGAATGCATGAAAACTGGCAAAGCTGCTGCGATTCTCCAGGTGGCAAATCGGGGGCCCCTATAGTTCTTTCTGCCCATTACCAATTATACGCCTAGACTGCCACCGCACCTGTAAAATACATTGTAGTTTTGACCAAACAGTGGCCACTAGTCTTTTCGTCTGGCCGTAGATGACAGCTAAAACGATCCAAAAGCTATGCAAAAACCAAATAGTGTAATTCAGGCAAAAGCCACAACTATTATGGGCCTACGACTATTCATATCTTTCAATGAGACCATCTGAATTTTCCATAGTAGCCTCTATGTAATATGATTGCCCTCAAATTTAAAAATACAGAAATGGTCTTTGTTAGAAATATCTCATAATGATGCAATGTTCCAGGGCTCTAAAAGGCAATTACAGGCCCAGACATTTATTTATTTATTTTTGAGCATCGCTGCCATGACGACGTCTTCCTCATTCACATATAATCATTGAGCATGGAGTAGAGTTTTATTTTTACATTCGAAAGGTAAGTCTATGCTGATGCAAGTGCAAAGTAGAGGAAGACGTGTGAGATGACCTTTAGAAGAGAAAGACATTGCACGCTGACAATTCTGTACGTCATTTATATGTGTTGTCCGTGATGAAGAAATATAGGTTTCTTTTTGGTTGTTCAAGGTGGACAATATGGAGGAATTCAGCAATGGGGATGGAATATAAAAGTTTAGTTTTGTTTAAAGTTACGCAAATAAACGCAAAGAATGTAAAGTATTTATCTTATGTCCGCGTATAAAAACTCCAACTGCCGGCTGTGAGGGAGAAGGGGGTGTCTGGATCCTGGGAGGAAATGGTTTCATGGCTGAGCTGTCCGTTTGTGTTAGTGTCTCTGAAACTGGCATCATCTGCTAGCTCTCTGACATGGTGTTGATCTGGCCGTTGGCGTACATTCATTCCTTCAAACTGACCCTTACACACATGTTGGCTTTTTATCCCTTTTGTGGACGTTACAATGATGTCCATTCACCTCCAGAAAGACTGATCCTCACCGGCTTAAAGCTGGGGTACCTATTTTGCAAACCACAAAGTAATCAAAGAATTTTCTCCTTGTGTCTGCATAGGTTTCCTCCAGGTCTCCCCTGCCAGTGAAAAGATGTACAACAGGTCTGCATGAGCCTTCTGTATGGCGACCCCATACAAACTGAATTTCAGAATTAAAAACGGTATAAAAATCTCAATATATAAAAGTCAGTCATATACATAGCTAAAAAGAACGGTTTTCAGCTTAGACTTAAATAATGCTAAAGATGAGGCCTCCGTACATCCTCAGGAAGGCTGTTCCAGATTTTTGGGGCATACACCTGAAATGCAGCCTCTCCATGCCTAGTCCTGACTCTGGGCACCATCAGGAGTCCAGTCCCTGCGCTCCTCAGAGTCCGAGTTGGTTCATACGGCACCAACATGTCACCAATGTACTTTGGTGCAAGACCATGTAGAGACTTGTACACCAGCAGAGCTGCTTTAAAATCAATTCTCTGAGCCACAGGAAGCCAGTGCAGAGACCTGAGGACTGGACTAATGTGGTCGTATTTCCTGGTTCTAGTCAGGACTCGAGCTGCTGCATTTTGAATGTACTGCAGCTGTTTTACAGCCTGTTTGGACAGACCTGTGAGCAGGCCATTGCAGTAGCCTAATCTACTAGTGACAAATGCATGGATAAGTTTTTCCATATCTGATTTAGACAACATATTTTTAATTTTGGCAATATTTTTTAGATGATAGAAGGCTGCTGATGTTATAGATTTTATGTGCCTATCAAATTTAAGGTCAGAGTCCATTACTACCCCAAGATTTCTTACTTCCTTTGTTGGTTTTAAGGAGAGAGACTGGATGTAACTGTTAATACTTTCTCTTTGTTTTTGTGGGCCAAAAACAATAACTTCAGTTTTATCTGGGTTAAGTTGAAGGAAACTGTTTTGCATCCACTCACTGATCGTTTGAATGCACTGGCAGAGGGAATGTATTGGTCCATATTCCCCTGCAGTAAATGAAACATATAATTGGGTGTCATCTGCATAATTGTGATAGGACACATTGCTTAAGATTAGATAATATGAGATTTCATCTCACAATGGAGAAATGTGACATTTGGCATAATTGATATTACTCAGGTTGTGCAAAAGACATGGAATGTGCAAACAGAAAATGTGCAAACAGGAAATATGTGAATATTTTAAAAAGTGAAAGATAAAGTATGTACAATTAAAGTAAAAGCGAATATAGCAGTGCGAGTTTTTCAGTCCTAGTGCAGGTTGTTTAAGTGATTTATTGTTTCAAAGTTAAGTACTCAAGTTTTAAATGCGTAAGTTACTAAATCTGGATTTTAGTCAATGAGAAGTCCCCATGCTTTCTGCACGGCCCGCATCTGAACCGTGCTAATTATAAAGAACTGCCTGTCCCCACAACATTATGAATCCCAGCTTGTGCACACACACACACACACACACGTACACACACATATACAGACTTCGGATGGGCTTTGAGACACAGTGGTGCATTCCACTTGCCTCCCTGCGACCTCCCCGCTGTGCCTGACACAGCACCATGATCGCGTGGCTGGCGGCTGTTCCCTGTCAGGACCCAGGCCCATACGGAGGCTGACATGTGACGGCAGCAGACACCATTCAACGTGTCAGCCTCAAACAACCAAACAAAGGCACTTCATAACTGTTTTAAAGTATGGAAGGAATACTCTCTCCAATGATCATCAGTCATAGTATCAAATGAGTACTATATTTTCATTATAATTTACAGTTTTGTATAGCCCAAATTCACAACTGAAGTCACCATCTTTCATGAGCCTCATCCTTTTTTACGTTACCTTGATTTTGTATTGACTTACACTTACACTTAGACTTTATTAATACACAAGGGAAAATGCGTTGTCACAGTAGCTCACATAGTATTTCCCAATAACAAATCTAAATAAAATAACATTAAAATAATCATCTGAAAATAATCAAAATAATAAGATATGATAATATTGTGAGAAAAAACGTAACATCTGTAAATATACAATATGTACAAGGACAAAACAGATACACTGTAAACTTGAAATCTAGATGAATGTGTTATCTACAGTACACTATTGGGCCTATATGTTTTGTGTCAGACAATCTGTAATAATGTAATGTCCATTATTTCTCTGGAACTGAAAATAAAGATTCAAAATAAAAAAGTAAATCATTTGTTGAATCAAGCTCTAATTACCTTGATTAAAGTCAATACCATGCAAATTTTCCAGTAGAGTGAAACAATTAGATATGAAAACTGATTCTATCAAGATCAACATGCACTTTTTGCGCCTTTCGCAGCGTTAAAGTTATTTAAGCAACTCCCAGTGTGGACCCGCCAAGAAGTGTTACATCCATGGACTCAAAATTATTTTTTGTGCTCCCCTCAGCCAGCCATCCAACAATGTCAAAAGTGAATTAGAACATTGTATGCAGCACAATGTATTTACACTACTATATATTATTTTAGATCGATAGTTCCCTTACTTTTGCAGAAATTTGAGAGTACTCATCTGCAGTAAGTTGGGCGAAAACTTTGGCATGGTCAGGAGTACGTTCCCCAAAGTTTTGACGTGAGTGGTACCGATGGTAAAATTAGAGTTGGTTGCAAAAGTGTAGGATTACTATAGTGATCCTGCTATAGATGACAAGACACTGACAGTACAGACACCATGAGGGCCTCCCGGACACAGCCCAGCCTGTCCAGTCCTGTCCAGTTGTGCTGTGCTGGCTGACCACACTTCCACATCGGGGCCCTTTATTGTTCCTTCCACTGCTGTAATGGAAAGTGTGGTGCAGAGGTGAGGATGTGTGTATGTGTGTGGGGGGGGGGGGGGGGGGGGGGGCAGAGCTGTGGCCAAAGGCTCCAAAAAGGCCTCAACAGTCCCTCTATAGCTGCCATACTTCTCCTCTCACACTCACATCGGCCTAATTGTGCGCACCGCCTTTCCTTTCTCTCCTCTTCTTTCCCCTCTGTCTCTGGGCTGTCTGCGTCTGACACACACAAATATACCATTACCAGGGAGTTCGGCAAGCCACACTTTAGTGCAAACATTGTGCCGCCCCTGCACCCCTCCCTCCCTCAGCTCAAATGGGAGGAAATCCTGGACATGTCAAGCACATTCAGGAAAATACTTGAGGTTTTAGAGAAATTGGGATCACCTCATCTCCAAGTAACGTGATGCTGGTTATATTAACAAATGAAAGGGTGCCCAGATGGAAGCTATTGGCAGATTAGAACATGCGCGTACACATGAAAGGACGCAGAGGCGGGTTGATAATGAGAGCGACCGTGACGTTTTTATGTTGTTATTCTTCTGTGTGGCTTAGCTAATAGGACAGGGGTTTTATCCACAAATGCACCATTGGGTTAAGGGGTATTGTTACAGCCTAAACACATTTGTAGGGTCTTTTTGGAGTTTGAATTATAGTATCGGCTCCACATTTGGCAGGATGAGTTTAGGAGTTGGTTAGCAGGCAGGATTTATTTAGTTTAGATGTCCTGCGCTCGAAAAACTGACACTTTGAGGAAGTGGTCTGCAGAAGCTGTAGAAAAGCAAGGCTAACTGGAGCAGGAGGAGAATTTATAGAGAATGGACCTTTTTCTTTACATTTATGAATGTTTTCTTTATTCATCTTTATTCAATTTTGGGGGGTGAATATTCCTCTATCTAGTCCAGAAAAGCAATAACATTATAATGATATGTTTTTAAGATAAGATAAGATAAGATGTGCTTTATTTATCTCACAGAGGAGAAATTTACATGTCACATTTGGTATGGATACTCAGATTGTGCAAAAGGAGGAAATGTGCAAACATGTTACATGCAGGATATATGTACAATAAAAGTGACAATAATTATGTACAACAAAAGTGACAAGTGTCAATTGGAAACAGTGTCAATAGTAGTGCAGGTTTTCACACAGTGATCATTTAAAGTGACTCATTGTACAGTCTGACAGCGGTGGGGATAAAGGTTCATGATGGAGGTGACTTTAACTAGCACCCTCCTGTTCCTCACCTCCTCCACAGAGTCCAGGGAGCAGCCCAGAGTGGAGCTGGCCCTCCTGACCAGCTTGTTCAGTCTGTTTCTGTCCCGCTCTGTGCTGCCCGTCCATCTTTAACGTTTTATATTAATATTATTTTGTATTTTTATTATTTTATTAAGCCTTTCACAGACTGAGAAATTCCGCTTCAGTATCCAATTACTTACACATACATTCATACCTACTGTACATTAGTAGCAGGGGAAACCGAAGCACCTGGAGGAAAAACTTACACAGAGAGAACAAGCAAACTCAACACAGAAAGTCTCACACAAGATCACGGTAATTACATACATGCCTAATTAATTTTCAGTTGCTTAAAGAGAAAAGACATTCTAAATCACAATCCCTTTGAACAACAAATGATTTAGAAACAACTGTAGTTATTCTTTCAAAACTATTTGTGTGTCACCTCATATCTCTCAAACTGAATAGATAGATAGATACAGACAGATGTTGCCCGTGGTCCGGCTGGAGCAGACTGTGTGAAGGTCTGTCTCCCGGTGTTGTTCCAGGCGGTGTAATCATGGTATTAATTATTAGCTGTTTGCTCTCCATCATCCACTTTCCCCGGGGAGCAGAGCGCAGAGGTTGCCAAGGGCTGGCTCTGGGTGTCTCTTCCATTCTGAATATGTTGACTTAACATCGCAATCCAACAGAAGTCTTTGCAGATTATAAGACATGTGAGAAATAGTCATAGCTATGATTTATCTAGTTTTAAATCTGATTTTGGGTGGCCTCTTCTATGGTTACTGTGTTTTAATGGTTGCTTGTAAATCCGCACTAATTAGAATAACTCTGATGATTTGTTTATAATTTGTGGGTTTCCT